CTCTTCAGCTGGGAGACTTCTCCCTTCAGCCTCTGGAGGAGAGAGGAGACACTGAGGAGGGCCCCGCGGCCAGCACCTACCTGCACAGGGGGCTCGACCCAGCTCCCTGCCCCTTTTGGGGCCTCGTGCGCACCGTGACTTCCCCACTCTTGTCAATGAGTTGCAGCATCTTCTCTTCCTGCTGTTTCACAACATCCTGCAGCTCTTTCTCATTCTGCAGAGGCGGCGGCAGCCGGGGGCTCCCCCCCCGGCCGCAATGGCCGGCCCATGGCAGGTGAGCCCCAGGCAGACTGCGGGCCACGCAGGGCCCCATGGTGGGGACATGGCCATCCTGCTGCAGGGCCTGGCTCAGCAGCACGGCTGCCCCCGCAGCACATGGGAGCGGGTTTCCTGTGTTTGAGGTTAGATCAGCCCCAAGTACCCGCGGGGCACAGAAAGAGCCAGTTACCCAGATTCTCCGTGTCCTAGATCAGAGCCCGTCCCAGTTCGGCTCTGCCCTGGAGTGAGCGCTGGCCCACTTCTGGCACCGGCTCACCTGTAGCTTGCCCCTCAAGGCTTTGTTCAGCTTGGCAATGGTGGCGGCCTGGGCATCTGTCTTCTCCTGGCTCTCGGCAGTCACCATCTCCAGCCTCAGCTGCAGGTTGGAGCTGGGAGAGGACAGCGAGGCTGAACAGATGAGGACCCCAGCCAAGCACAGCGTGCCTGGCACCACGCATCAAATCCCTTCATGAATATCTCACCAGCCCCATGTGGGGCCTGGGAGAGGATAACCTGCCATTCCAGCCAGCTAGCAGCTGGAGAGAGCCTCGGACGATGGGCTCTCCTTGAGAGCCAGGGCAGATGCCACACAGAGCTGCCCCGAGGATGGGCTGTGCCTGGGGCAGCCGTGCCCGTGCCCAGCCAGCTGCTAGCCCTCGACTTGAGCCCCCCACTAAACTCACATCTCGGTCTGCAGCGCCTCAAACTCGCTCTGCTCCAGCTCCTGGATGCGGGAGCTCAGCGCGGCGAGGTCGGAGACTGTGGCCCTCAGCTCCCTCACGCTCTCCAGCAGGCCATCCTCGGGCTCTGCGGGCACAGCAGAGGCTCATGAGCAGCACAGAGGGGACAGTCAGGTCGAGGGGGACATGGAGACCAGTGGGGAGCATGCTGCGCTGTCCCCCAGTGCGGGGGCAAGCCAACACAGGGCAGGCCTGAGGCAAAGGAGCAGATGCCCAAAGGGACAGGGAAGGGTGACGGGCGCTGATACCTATTCGCTTTGGCGTAGAGGCAGGTTCGACCCTGGTAAATGCACTCCCACCTCCAGTGGCTTCATCAGCATCTGCGGGAGGACAGCACGGGGTGTTGTGCACAGTGCTGCGTGCTGCATGGAGCACAGCCAGACCTTGCTCACGCATAGCCAGCCCCGGGACCGGCTCCCGAGGGCCTGGGTTGCTCAGAGGAGACCCTTCTCACCCCGGGGAGCAACAGCGCTCTGGGTGCAGAGCCCAGCCACGCTCACCCAGGAGTGCTTTCAACCCCCGCAGTTCATGGCCAACTTTGTGTGAGCTGTGAGCCCAGAGCAAGAACATCACGCTGGATTTCACCCTCCAGATGCAGCCCCCACCCAAAGTGGGTTGAGACCTGGCTGCCCCAAGGAAAGAACTATGAGATCCACAGCAGCAAAGGACATAGGGAGAGCACCAGAATCCCCTCCTCACCCAGCACCAGAACAGGACACATCCCCAGCATAGGGCAGAAGCTGCCATCAGGCCCAGAGCAATATCCATCCCCATACGGGACCCCTCCTGACACCCCAGCAACAGGTGCCAGCTCACCTCTTCCTGAGGCTGCTTTTAAGATGCTGCCCACGAAGGAGTCCCCAGCACGGTACGGTGTGCGGCAGGCTGGCGTGCGACAGGCGGGGGTCCAGGTGCTGCGGGGTGTCTGCCAGCCGGGTGTCCGCCAGCCCGGAGTCCGGGGAGCTGGGGTCCAGGCTCTGCTTCTCGATGGCGCACTGTCGTCCTTTGGAGAGGAGGG